GCCATACACATACAATCTCTCTTCCCTATTTACATCCCCATCTCCTGCTACTCACTGACAGCCTCCTTGGGGTGTTCTTGGAACATGCTTAGCATGTGCCCAACTCTTGCTCTTTGCATTTGCTCTTCCCTTGCCTGGAATATTCTTCCGCCTTCTGTATGCATCACTCTCTTCCTGACCTCTTTATCACTGAGGGCTTCACTAAATGATCTCCCCCAACTTAAACTATTCCATCTACTTCTCCCAATCCATATCTCCCTCTTTGCTTTAGCACTTATGACCTGACACAATTTTATATTTGTTTATTGTCTGACTACATTCACTAGAATACGAAGTCTAGGGGTATGCATTTTTGTCTTACTTTATTTTGAGTGCTCACTGAGTGATCATTTTGTTTTGTCTTGTTTTGTAGACAAAATAGCACTCAGTGGGCACTCAAAAACTATTATGTGAATGAATAAATGAATTAACCATAAAATTATTCACTGAGCAATTACTATGTGCCAGCTACTGTGCAAGATAAAGGCAATTTAGAGTGAATAAAGAGGTTTTTGATTATTGTCTTTAATAAAGACAATTATGATTATTGTTGGTAAATTCTATGAAAACATCATAGGGGCGCTTTGGAGAATGAAAGAGGAGCACCTACCACAAGGGCGAGGGCACTGAGCTCTGATTTTGGAATGGGTGCAGGAGAGGACCAGGGAGAAGAAAGCCCCTTATGGGAACAGACAGAGGTACAGAAATGTGGAAACCTGGCTTATGTGGAAAACTACAACTACTGCCAAAGCCCAGACCCTTATAAAAGGCTGTGAAAAGCCACTGAATGATATTTAAGTAAGGGAAAGGTTTGAACCCATTAGCCTTTAAGGAAGCTCACGCAGGCAGCAGTGTGCAGAAAGCACTGGAGGAGACTGAAAGCAGGCTGGTCATTAGGTGAACGTTACATTAGCTAAGGGAGAGAGGTGAGGGTTTAACAGGAATGTAGCAATGTGGCTGGAGAAGAGGGCTGGATCATAGAGATATTCTTAAGTGTCTGATGGACTGAAGTAGGAGGAGTAAAACCTGACTCTGAGGCCTGAGTAACATGCTTTTGGTAAAGACAGTTACCGACATGGGGTCTATCATGTTTCTTTAACTTACTTTCTCACCATATGCTGAACATTCTACATAAATCTTTAGATATGGAATCTAGGAAGGGAGAGGAAAAAATTGGAAAGAAAATCAAGTAACTCTATAATTTCTTACTGTGTCTGTAAGTTTTTATCTGAACTTTATTTTGCATAACTTCCCATGGTGTTTTCTGAAAGATTATTAAAACTGCTGTAAAGGTTTATCCGCAGATTAATGATGTTACTCCATGCTTAGAATTTTTCAGTGACTCTTTGAGTTTTTATCTTTTTGATAAAGTTATATTCATGATGCAAAATTCTTTAATGAAAAGTTTTTATATTTTATATAAAATATAAAAATACCCAGAACCTGTATTTAAATTTAATGTGTTTTAAGGTTCTAATTATAGTTGACATTTCTGGAGCTTAAAGAAATATAGCTTAATATGTTGATATTCTGTATGTTAGTTTTTAATCTTAAAATGTATGCAAAGAAATTATTTTGAAAAATAAAACTGGATTATTTTCATCTTAACTGGTTATATACAAAGTATATGCAAATATAAATAAGGAAAGACCACTTCATCGATTAATAAAGGTGAACCAAAAATATTATGACTCTAGGCTGGAAATCTCCTTGATCCAAACTTATTAAATTATGAGGATAACAACAATGGAATTGTTTTAGAAATCTCAAATCACTAGAAAAAATGATTTTAATTTTGGTAATAATAAGCATTTGTTTGACTAGTGAATAATGAATTTATGTCATTATTCATCCAAGTTGTTGTGCAGGATGAAAATATAAACAAGTGTAAGAAAGATTAGATAGACCAGGAGTCGTAGCTCACACTTGTAATCCCAACACTTTGGGAGGCCAAGGTTAGGGGATTGCTTGAGGCCAGGAGTTCGAGACCAGCTTGGGCAATATAGCAAGACCCTGTCTCCACAAAATATTAAAAACTTAGCCAGGCATGGTGACATGTGCTTGTAGTGCCAGCTGCTTGGGAGGCTGAGGCAGGATTGCTTGAGCCCAGGAGTTTGAGGCTACAGTGAGCTATGATCACACCACTGCAGTCCAGCCTGGACAACAGAGTGAGACCCTGTCTCAAAAGAAAAAAACAAAAGTAAAAAAAATTGATAAATTCATGAATGTTTCTATGGAATTTTCAAATTACTTTATAAACTAACATTTGTACCAGAAACCATAGGACTAATCAAATGTAATCATCTTAACCAACTGGTAGCAACATACCCGAATTTCAATTTTTACCTAAAATCAATTTTTGAGTAGGGAAACTTTGATTTGTAAGCTTAAATTTAATTGCCACAATGTTGTAGATATATAATGGTATTATTTATCTAAGGATACTCAAAACAAATGCATATCAGCAAAATATTGCTCAGCAGAAATAACTGGTATGTCTGGATGTGTGCATGCATGTGCACGTGTGTGTGTGTGTGTGTGTGTGTGTGTGTGTGTGTGTGTGTGTGTGTCTCTGTCTGTACTTACTCAAGTGTTCTATATTTTATTCTGCCCAACTCCCAGGTCCCCCCACTAGTAATGGATGACACTCTTGTTAGATCCCTACCGTTTTTCCTGACAGAGAGATCAAAGACGTATATGCACATTTTTGGTAACTGAATATATTTTTGCCAGCATAGTTTTGAAAACTCTATAAGACATGTATTTCCAATTCAAAATAACGTTAAATCTTAAAGAAGCTGCTTTTATTTTTAGAGGCTACCAGAAGTAGCAGTAGTTTTCTAACAGTGAAGGAAACTGTTTATGGTCTTTGTAGCCATCCTTAGCTTTTCATTAAATAATGTGTTAAAATAGACAACTTAATTAATTTTATGAATTTCAGAGTTGATTCATCTTTCTAAATCTCTGATTTTATGTGATTATGCAGCAGAGACCAAATTAGAAAATATCAGATATGTTATTCTCTAGTTAAAATATTTGATGTTGAATTTACTCTTATTTTCATTTAAAATATTCCCTTCCAGGGTTATATATCAATGTAATGAAATAGACAATTTTAGGGAAACAAGCCTTTGTGAATTGAACATACACATTCTCAGTCTAAATACTGAATTAATGTACTCCTTGTTCTATGATTTCCTAACATCAATATTTTAAGAAGTAAAGTACTCTAGAGACACTGGAGAAAATGGAATCATAGACAATGATAAAACCCAAGTCTTTTCTTCATTCTCAGATCTCCTATCACCACAGCCTTCAAATTCTGCCCTTACTTAGCATGGACATTTACTTCCCAAACAATTTACCCAAGTGAGGAAATGATTAAATATGTTTATATGCTAAGAGGAAGAACTAGTGAAGAAGTGGAGCCTCTGATACAGATACGGGAGTAACTGATTGCAAAAGATCCCTGAGGACAGAGACAAGGATGGATTCCAGAGTACACCAGATGACTTTGCCTTGTATAGGAGGAGGGGCTCTTCTTCCTCTGATACAGGAAAGAGGTACACGTAGATTTGGTCTGATGAGAGACAAGATGTGGAGTAGTCTCTATTTTCTCTGCAAAATCCTAAACAGGGAGAATTTTAAATATAGGGGGTGAAATAAGTAGGGAGAATGTCTGACCACACAGATCAACCAAAATAACAAACTCATTAAACAGTTGGTTGGTTGAGTACATTAAATAGAAATATATAAAGGCAATATTGCACAGTGTACTTTCAATAACCTAAAGCTGATTATATGAGGAAATTGTTAGTCTTCCTGTGAGGATTACAAAATAACATGGGGAACAGATTCTGTGAATCTTTCTAAACATTATGTATATTTTAATAAAAAGGATGCATGACCGGATCTTCTTCTAGCGACCACGCTAGCGTTTTATTTAGTGTTACAGGGTGGGAATGCAACATGCTGATTAACTGAAATGTCACACACTGAAAATAAGCTGGTCATTAGTTAAATGTCATGGAATAAAGAACTTTTAACATGAAATGGTGAGTGTCTATAACTTTGCTAAAACATAGTAAAATATATTTTTGACAGAACTAGAAGAAACTGCTATAGTTATATTTAAAATATATATACAAATAGTGAGAAATACAGCCATATCTCTTTGAGATTTTCCACTGTCTCAAAGCCTTGCCTTGCTCTAAATAAAGTCGAGAGAATCCCAACACTGACTTTGTCGTTGAAAAACTGCTAAATCTCAAAACCGCTACATTTCCATGCTGTGTAAATATTCTCGTTTATCTCACTAAATCTCTTCCCCCCAGTTATCTTAGTCTAAGAAACAACTGATAGCCTCCTTTGTTCCCCTTTCTAGTATATACACGGTATCACAGTTGACATTGGCCTCCTCTAGTTTGTAAACAAGTTATTGTGCAGGTTAGTTGACCATATTTCCTAAGAGGAAAAATAGAAAAAAAAAAAAAAAACAAAACCATGTTTCTTTGTAATGCTATTCAATTATTTCCTTTGCAAATCTGCTAACTGAAGATTTGCAGGTGCAGAAGTCATCTAACGTGTCCATTTGCTGAGGAACTCCATTTCATTTTAACTGCTTCTCGGGACTATATCTTCAGCCTACTAAATGAGATTGATGTGATACATTTATAGGTATTTTTTTTAAAAAACGTGCTGAAACAGCAAAGATTATTTTTTAATAAAGAGGAAAAATCAGAATCCTGCTGCATATAGTTAATGGCCTTCAAAAGGAAACTAGAAGAAAAGATCTATTTTGTACTTCCAACTGAAATTTTTCTTTTTTTTTCCTGATGTAGGAAATGTCAGCATATTTCAGTACAGCAAAGAAAATCTTAAGAGAATAGCACAGCTTAAACTGGTCATCTAAGCTTAAGTGGCTATAGTATTATGTTAATTGAATTGTTTTTCTTTTTTAGGGTCCTCTAGGGCCTCCAGGACAAAAGGTAGAGTATAAACAATACTGTGAAAGTAATTGTGCTCTCATGACCTAATGGCAAGCAAGAGAGGTGAATGAAATTAGCTACTGTAAGCCACGCTGAAGCAGTTAGTCTGGTTTGTGCATTCTGCTTTCTAAAAATACGGTCATAGAATGTGAACATTAGATTTCTGATTGACTCTATTATTGAAAAAATTCAATAAATCCAGAGCAGACTCTTTTTAAGTTGTTTGCTGAACTTGTACATTATTGAATTTTTAATTCACATACTGGTAAAACATTGTGACAAAATTTAAAATGTGAAAGATCATTTGACATTGCAAAATGAATGTATGGCCTTCCTCAATTATATGATTGCCAAATGGCCAGAGAACTGACCAGAAAAAAGGATACTGCTGAGTTCACTATATTCAAATGGCAAACTGGTGTCCTTCTTTGATGAGGTAACCTGAGAAGTGACTTCCCGATTGTCATTTTGTTGTTATCTGTGATCATCAGAATTGACCATTAAATTCCAATGGAGAGGCTGGACGCAGTGGCTCACGCCTGTAAAACCAACACCTTGAGAGGCTAAGGCAGGTGGATCACCTGAGGTCAGGAATTTGAGACCAGCCTGGCCAACATGGTAAAACCTGTCTCTACTAAAAAGACAATATTAGACAGGTGTGGTGGCACATGCCTATAGTCCCAGCTACTCAGGAGGCTGAGACAGGAGAATTGCTTGAACCCGGGAGGCGGAGGCTGCAGTGAGCTGAGATTGTGTGACTGTATTCCAGCCTGGGTGAGACAGAGCAAGACTCCGTCTCAAAAAATAAAAATAAATTCTGATGGAGAAGATCTAGGGTTTCCAAAATTACACCTATCTTACAGCGGTAAATATATTAATAGCAAATAGATGGCATTTTGCCAACAGAATATCACTAAGTCCCCATTCCTCCGTCCTTACACCCCTTCAAGTGGGGAAGGGGATATTTAACCCGTGGAAAACTAAAGAAAACAATTGTATTATAACAGGTGGAAAAGTGATTATTCTTTATCTTTGGAATCCATCAAAGATAGAGACTTTTTATCCCCCAAGCACTGGGCATGTGGCATCTGTTGAAACATAATCCTACAAACCAAGTAAAAGCCCATGGGTTGTGAGACAACTTGTGTGTAGGAACACTTTGTCCTTCGCAATAATGTCTCTATTAAGCATGGTGTGAAATTGTAAAGCTACTCTAATCCACGTACGACCAGGATAAAATTACTGCTCCGGACTTTGGGAAGTCCTTTAATGACCCATTCTATATAATCACTGAATGCGCTAAGGAACTTGCCATTTCAATTTGTTTTGATTATAATTACTGTTTTTCTAGGAGACTCTTTTTTTAGGGAAGTTTTTGGTCTATAATTACTATTTTTTTAAAATCTTTTCTCCATTGTTATTAAAGGGATGTAATAGCATACATCTACTAAGAAAAATCTGTTTTCTAGTTTTAGACAAAGAATAAGCACATTGTATTTAAAATGGTTTCTCCAGAGCCTAAATGGAAGGTATAATGGAGGGAAATGACATCAGTGTTTGAAAATATTTGCTAATGTTTCTGTATCCAGTTAAATGTCATAGATTTTCTCAGGTAATAATTAGCTTTCCTATTCTCCAGCTCACCCATCTATGCCCAGTCATTCATACTTAGACACCAGTATGCACATGTGCATGTGCACACACATGCCCACATGTGCTCACACACACCCAACTTTTTTTGTACAGAAGTTGTGTTGTTCCTGGTCAGTGTATAACATTTATTACACCTTTTTTAGTCACTCTGGAAGACACATTCACATTCATATGGCTTAAACTTACTCCTTGAACGTCTGGGAGGAAAATGCTTAGAATATAAGAAATCTGAGTTTATGACACGGGCCCCTTATTTAACTGTGGAACAAGTGGTTGTTATTTTAATTGCCTTTTGTTTTATGGTATTTTAACTCATGAAATGCAAGTGTTACTGATACTGGTAGGATTTTTCCAGATGGAACTCAACTATTTATTCTTAAAAACATCAAAATTTAGAGTCATGTGGCCCTCTGATAGGTATGATCAATTTATCATATAAATTTCTTTAAAATCATATTAAAGTTAAGTGGGTACTTAGAAGCAAGGTTTAATTTTAACTTCGTCGTTTCTGGGCAAGCCTGAGGAATCTACTTACATTATATATTTGAACACTATGGATAAGGTCTGAAAAATAAAACTTCCTAGAAATGTTTTAGCAAGGCTTATATAATTCATACAATATAAACAATATTTTGTGTATGATAGCAACTCAATTTAATCATGTGTTTCTTTAGGGTTCTATTGGAGCACCTGGAATTCCAGGGATGAATGGGCAAAAGGTGAGTTCTATAGAATATTGTATTTTAAAAATAATTTCGTGAGCATTTGAAATTATTCTAGTCCATAATGTTAGTAATAAGCTTATATGCTTATAAAAACACTATGTATACTTTTGAAAGACAGGAAAATTTGGTACAAATGATCAAATTAGTTTAATTTTTAAAGATGCATTCAATAGTCAGGAATTCTTTGGAAATTTTCCATTTCAACTATTTTGGATATGTTACTTTTCAATAAATTATGTATGTGATATAACTATGTCTCATAAATATAGATGGAATTGGAAAAATTTATGTTTAACATTGATTGTGATAAACATAATACAGTCTAGTTTATTCTGCCCATTATAAAAGTAATATGTATTAATAATTGACTAACAAAAGCTATTCTCATAGAAGGAAACTAGCCAAACTTTCTGCATCCAGAAGGAAGCTCTTTTTCTGTTAAGCAAATGTAGACGTTAAATAGATTTGTCCTGCCCTGGTATTACATCCACTTTTATTGTACTGTTAATAATGAGGGAGAAAAATACAGTGAAAGAAATGACAACACACTCTATATACACGTATCCATGTGTTGTGTATATTTACAGCTGCCACATACTTACTAGTTGGACAAAGCATAGCTCCTCAACATCCCTAACTGGCTCTTCAGTCTGGAACCTTCACAGAAACCAGGAAAGCCAAGTGGCAGCCGACAAAGCCCATTGCTGAGCCAGTCTGTCAGGAGCCAGGGAGCTGAGCGAGGGACTTTCCTGTCTCCCTCAGAGTTCTTGGGCTGGCCCTTTTATACCCAGAGACCCATTATCTTGCCTTCCCATTTTAAACCCATGCACCCTGGACCAAATTCTGAAATTATACGTAACTCAACCCTTTCAGAAATAAATCTCCTTGTGACTGTTTCCATCACGTCTATCTTTTCTTTCTATCAGTAAAACAACCACAATTTTAAACCTAGCAAGTTGCTAAGAGCATGAGTCTACTGCTCAGAGGCTGTGTGAATTTTGGCAAGGTCCTTGGAATTCTCTGGCCTCAGTTTCTCATCTGTAAGGGGAGACAATGGCAGTGCCTACCTAATAGAGTCCATGAGAATTAAGAGAGTAAATAGATGTAAAGCCCTTAGTATTTGATATTACTGTTAAACTTTTCCTTCACTTCAGTTTAGTGAAATTCCGAAAGTTCAGTTAATCTATGTTTTTAAGAGGCTCTCTGTTTCAAGAAGTACTCAATTCCCACATGAAATTAATGTGCTCAGCCAAGGCTTATGGTGTCCTCTAGTCCATAAACTAAACACCACACACTCACCAGTAGTTAACCGCCCATGCCGCAGCTACATTTCCACTTAGTAAAATGCATATCCATTTGCTTCGCAGATCCTGGCAAAGATAGAAGACAAGCTTTCTGTTTAGAATATTGCAGATCGTGGAGGGAAACCTAAGCAAAAATTTTAAAGTATATTCTTTCTCAGATAGATTTGAAAATTATATAACTCAAGATAGCATTTAGAAAGAACAAAATACAGATAATGGCATAACTGTTGTTTTTGACATTGGTGAAAAACAAAACTTGTATGCCTAAGATTAATGACGCCTTCCTTTTTCGTCTTTGTTTCATTTTTCAACTTTGAGACAATCATGAAAATTTATAGAAACCTTTAACATGAAACCAAACAACTTTAAAACTGTCACATATACTCCTTTGAAGACTACATATTCTTTATTTTTGCAAAGGAAATATGCAATTTCCTTAGCAAGAGAAAGGAATGTGACATTTTCTTGTCCTAGTCACCAAGTTTAAATTATATTTCAAGGAAATAGACAGTTAATATTTGCAGTTTTATGTCTTGTTATACATCTTAGTGGCATTTTAAAAGTGTGTTCTGTAGAACCCAGGGAAATGAAATGATTTCACACTTTTATGAAGGTATCAGCAAAATGTAATTTAAATTTGTTTTCTTTCCTTCAGACAACTGAACCTAAAACTTTGTGTATGGAACTTTCTGTTAGGCCTATCATTGCTTAACATTTGTAATATTTGCTATATCATTTTTAGGAAAATAAAGTGTAAAAAACACAAGTCTCCTTCACTGAAACAGCAGGTCTCATAGATAGTAAAAACACAGTTGGCAATAGAGTAATAATTACATACTTAGAGCATATGAAATGAACCCTAGAATTTGTGTTTAAACAAATTTCTTGATCTCTAGACTTCGTTTTTCTGGAGTCTTGAACTCTAGCATTTGTTTTTCTAAGGAAGGAGCTTACAATGACATAATAATTTTTTTTTTTTGTAAAAGCACCTCAATATTCTTAAATTGTCTTGAGAAAACATTTTCTTCTCCATTACAATTTTGCTTTTTCCAGAAAAGTACTTTTGATACTTAGAAAAGTTTTCAGACAGTGGTTAGGGGAGGATATAATTAAACCATCAGAAATATGGCAAATAATATCTAGCTACTTGGGAGGCTGAGGCAGGAGGATTTCTTGAGCCCAGGAGTTCAAGTCCAGCCTGGGTACCATAGTGAGAACTTATCTCTTAAAAAGAAAAATGTAAGAAATGTGGCAAATAAAAACTAGGAAATAAAAATTCTTATGTTTGAAAAAAGAAATAAAAGTATATTATTTTAAGAAAACACTGGCTAGGTGATGTGGCCCATGCCTGTAATCCCAGCATTTTTAGAGGTTGAGGCAGGAGGTTCACCTAAGCTCAGGAGCTAAAAAAAAAACCTGGGCAACATGGTGAAACCCTGTCTCTAAAAAAGAAAGGAAAAGAAAAAGAAAGAGAAAGAGAAAGAGAAAGGGGAGGGAGGGGGGAGGGGAGGGGAGGACAAAAATGCTTTTTTTTTCCCCAGAGAACATTTTCATGCATTCAGATTGGCAAAATGGGTAATGGCCTTAGCACATAAACTTGGTGGTGATGTTTTTCCTGCACATTATCTTTTACATTTTGATCACCTTGATTGCTAATCTGAATATTTATTTTTGTAATGGTATTTCAGTTCTTCTGTTTGTATTAGAAGAAAATACTTAACATAAGCAGTGGCATGGCATTAGGCTCCAATCTTGCCCCTTCTGGCATCACAACTGATGAAGGGCTACAGAGCATCCTTCTGTGAAAAGTATGAGGCAGTGTGATACAGAGAAAAGGGCGTGGTCTCTGTATCTGAGAGAGAATGCTCCGTGTCCTCATTTGGGCAAATCACTTAATATTTCTAAGGTTCTAGTATACAATACAGAGACAGGCCTTGCAGTAGTAATTAGACAATATATCTAAAGTGAATATTATATAATAGATGCCCAATAAATGTTGTCAAATATCTCTAGTAGTATTTTCATGCCTTAAGAATTTCAGCAGGCTGGGCACAGTGGCTCATGCTTGCAATCCCAATACTTTGGGAGGCCAAGGTGGGAGGATCTCTTGAGCCCAAGAGTTCAACGTTACAGTGAGCCATGATCGTGCCACTGCACTCCAGCATGAGTGACATAGTGAGACCCTGTCTCAAAAGAAAAAAGTAGTTTCAGCAAATGAGCCCTAAACTTACATTTACGCAGGGAGCAAAAGCCAGCTGAATTCCTCATAGAGAGAAAATGAATATGCAAAATTATACATAGAGGTAGAATGTGTTCCCTGTCCCCTGCTGTCTCCCTGACCGTAAGGACTAAGAGCCCCAGTCGATAAGGACTGGATAGTTGGAATGATGGTGCTATAGATACAAGAAAGAGAAAGACACGTTTCACATTATTATGAAAGCACAGTCACCAGTGGGCTGATGTAGGAGCCCTGTCCTGGCATCAGAACACTCTGTGCTCTTTAACCTGTTGTGTAGCCTTTGAAGGATCCCTTTTATCTGTGGGTTCAAAGGGGCTTCATTTGTAAAATGAGAGAAGAAGCTGTACCAACTTACCTCTAAGTTTCTCAGAGATTCTATGAGTACCCATGTCTTGTTTCCAATTCAACCAGATTTTAGCATCCTCTGTTCCCAGTTCTGAAAGCTGATGTTTTCATAATTTGGACTTGTTTCCACCAACCAAGCAGTTAGGGCAGATTTAATGCAAATCCTACCTAAAAATATGAAATGTTATCTAGTTCTTCTTTGGCTAATTATATTGAACACAAAAATAATCTTGTAAGTCTCATGAAGATCTTCTTGGTTTAAACATATAATTAACCTTTTATTTGTCCTCCATGATTAATTCTTTCCCCCATCATGCACACACACACACATACATAAAGTGATATATATTTGAATATTTGCCAATTCATTCCTACTTCAAATACTCTGAAGAAAATTGAGCTATTTAAGATAATTTTGTGGTAGAACCATGTTTTTAAACTGAAGAATTATTTGGCAAAATAGATTGCTGCCTACCATTTTTGTTTATATACTTATATGTCAGTTTTTAAAAATCTGAACTGTTAAAAGTATTAAAGTTCTGTATTTTTCCACTTTTTCCTGATGTTCATCTTTATTGGCATCCATAAGAACAAATAATCATAATGACAATTTATTTGGATAGCAATTAGTGCCCAACACTGAAAATGCCATGAAAGAGGAGCTGGAGGTGGTAGAGTCCATACAAAGTCCCATTTATGCTACTCTTAGTTTACATCCTTACTATAAAAATAATGAAGATTTTTAGGATTAAAATAAAATTCTTTATTTCTGTGGAATTTTTCTGAGGCCTGCAGAGTCATAGGGCTTGTTTCCAAAACAAAAGATAAATATCAGATGATCTTGATTTGTGCAATTTTAAGTGCTTTCTAGAATTCATTATTTTTAAAACTTCAAATATAACATAAATTAAAAGTTGTTATTAGTGTGTCACCCATGAATCCATCACAAATAGCTATGTGATTTTTAAGTAACATTAAATTTTAAATAGCTTTTGGTTATGACATTTGAAATTCCTTTTAATCTCTTATACATGGATCACACAATTCTTCATTGACATTAATCTTCATGGCATACTTTTAATGCCATTTTTATTGTAAGTATATTT